CCTGCAAGTTTTTCCCTTGATTCCTCTCCCCACCCCACTGGGGATGGGAGGGCTGTGACTGAAGGGCTGGGTGGTGAATAGTTGCCAGCGGGGCTTAAACCAGGACAAAGAGCTACAGAGTGAGGCTGCAGGAAGGGGGCCCATGGCACCATCCCATCCACAGTCAGGCCTCCAGGTATAATCCTGGAGGGCCTGATCTGTGACCTGGTTTTCTGGACACCCTGCTCAAGGTGCCCCAGGACCATTGTCACACACCAGGCCCTGGAAACCACTATTCCCAGCACTGAGAGGTGGTTTGTTCCTTCACAGAGGGACATCAAGTGACGGGGCCAGAACTCCAAGAGGTCCCAAGACTTTGTCCCCTCAGGCACAGCCTGGTCTGTGCCACCATGGGCTGTGAGGACACACATTGTGCTGAGGCCCTGGGGCCTCGTGGCCTCCTGGCACAGCCCAGGAAGGCTGGGCACTGTCACCCCCTTGTCCTTCCCTCAGCATCACCCCCAAACCAGTGCCCTGGCAGAGCCCCGAGCAAGGTGTGAGGGACAGGATCTGCCTTCCCCGGGCTGGGGGTCAGGGCTGGGCCTTTCTGCTGCCTCCAACCGAGCCAGGCTGTGCTCAGCACCTGAGCTGCTGCACAGAGCCTTTGCCTCCCTGCGCTCACAGCCTCCAAGGATCTGCTGGAGAGTCCCTGGGGAGGCTTTGTCAGGAATGGCCCAGGGGGACTCCTTAATGCTTCAAGAATTTTCATAGCAATTTGGGGTTTGATTTTGACTTGGAGTCTCTGAGAGGTTTATGTAATCATGGCCTCCACTTATTTGCTGTAAGGAGCCCTTTGAGATTCTTTGTCAGTAACAACACTCAGTGGGGCTCATTAATGCTTCAAGATACTCAAGATTTGTTAAGGTACTTATTTTTGACAGTCTCTGAGAGGTTTGTGCAATCATGGCCTCCAAACATCTGCTTTAATTAATCTCTTGAGAGCCTTTGTCAGTGAGGACACTCAGTGGGGCTCGTTAATCCTTCAAGGGCCTGCAGGTTTCTCAAAGTGCTTTTCATTTTCCTTTCCAACTGAATCTCTGAGAGGTTTGTGCAATCATCTGCAACTATCTGCTTTAACCAGTCCCCTGAGAGCCTGTGTCAGTAGTGACACTCACTGGGGCTCATTAATTCTTTCAAGGAGTTCGGTTTTTAGGGGGACTTTGGGTTTTGCTTTTCATACTGAGAGGTTTGTGCAATCGTGGCCCCCAATTATCTCCTCCAAGGGGGTCCATGAGGAGCCTGTTTTAGGACTGGTCCTCAGTTGCGCCCATTAACGCTCTGAGTTTCTCTTTGACCCTTGCAAAGGTTTGTGCAATCTCCTCTCAGTCCCTGAGGTTCAAAGGCTCAGCACCAAGTACACCACAGGGCTCATTGAGATAAACCAGGTCCTAATAAACCATGGAACTTCTGTGATTGTCCTCTAATCTAGGAGGGTTAATTAAGAAGGTTGCCTATGTAGTTATGGAGAAAGTTCAAAGAGCTTCTAACAAATATGCATTCCTATTTTAAAGAGTGTACTTTATTACTTCTCTCTTTGGAGAAGAAATGATTGCAGCATTCTCAGACTGATACTGATCCAGGGTCTCTCCTAAGGAGGTCTGGACTATTTGGAGAACTGTCCCTTGAGGTCTGACACAGTGTAGACAACCTTGCTCTACATCTCCCCAGTCCCATCATGTCTTTCATCAGTCTCCTGGGTCCTGCTCTGCTCACAGAACCGGCTGCACACAGCACAGAGGGGGTTTTCTTCTTTCTTTGCAGCAATCTGAAAGCCCCAAGTTTCACCTTTGGTAACAGACACTCCTCAGCTGTGAGCCAAGTCCCTGCTACCACCAGTGGGGTTCAGCTCCCCCAGGGCAAACCCGTGCAAGAAACATTTTAGACATGCAGGAGTTATAAAATAAACACAAATAAAAAGTTGGCACTGGGGGAGCACTGATGGGGATAATTATGGGGCAGTTTGGGGCCCGGGGGGAGCGGATTAAGAACTGGCTGAATGGCTGGGCCCAGAGGGTGGTGGGGGATATTTCTGCATCCAATTGGGATCCAGTCACTAGTGGTGTCCCCCAGGGATCAATGTTGGGCTCAGTTCTATTTAATATATTTATTGATGATCTGGATAAAAGGATCGAGTGTACCATTAGCGAATTTACAGTTAACACCAAGTGGGGGGGGAGTGTTGATCTGCTGGAGGGCAGGAGGGCTCTTCAGAGGGACCTGGACAAGCTGGAGAGATGGTCTGATTCCAATGGGATAAGGTTCAGCAAGGCCAAGTGCACTTTGGCCACAACAACCCCCTGCAGCCCCACAGGCTGGGCACAGAGTGGCTGGAGAGCAGCCAGGCAGGAAGGGAGCTGGGAGTGTGGATTGACAGGAAGCTGAACAGGACCTGAGTGTGCCCAGGTGGCCAAGAGGGCCAATGGATCCTGGCCTGGAGCAGGAAGAGTGTGGCAGCAGGAGCAGGGAAGTGATTCTGCCCCTGTGACGCCACCCCTGGAGTGCTGTGTCCAGCTCTGGGCCCCTGAGTTGAGGAAGGCCCTGGAGGTGCTGGAGCAGGTGCAGAGAAGAGCAGCGAGGCTGGGGAAGGGAGTGGAGCACAAGTGCTGTGAGGAGAGGCTGAGGGAGCTGGGGTTGTTTAGCCGGGAGACGAGCAGGCCCAGGGGAGACCTCATCACTCTCTACAACTCCCTGACAGGTGGGTGTAGCCAGGTGGGCGTCGGGCAACCAAGCAGTAGGACAAGAGGTCATGGTCTCAAGCTCTACCAGGGGAGGTTTAGTTGGATATTAGGAAGAAAATTTTTTAAAGAGAGGGTAATCAGCCACTGGAATGGGCTGCCCAGGGAGGTGGTGGATTACCATTCCTGGAGGTTTTTAAGATGAGACTGGATGTGGCACTTAGTGCCATGGATCAAGGGCTGGACTTGATGACCTTGGAGGTCTTTTGCAACCCGGTTGATTCAACGATTCTATGATTCAGGGGACAGTTCGGCATCCAGGGGGGCACTTGGGGAGGGAATCTGGGATGTTTAATGGAGCTCTGGGGTGTGGGGCACGACGGGAGTTATAGGTGCAAATATAACAGGGCTCTCTATAAGGCCGCCGGGCAAGACGGGAGTTCTAGTGTGGGTATCAATGGGTTCTAAGGAGCCGCGGGGCGTGAGGGGAGTTGTAGTGAGGAGGGGTATGGCCGCAATGGGGCCCGAAAGATGCCGTGGGGCATGACGAGAGATAAAGTCCCGAAAATGGCTCTGAGGGGAAATCGGGGTCCAAAGGGCCTCATATGGACCAATGCGGAGCTGCCAAGAGGCAGCCAATGGGAAAGCTGCGTGGTGGCAGCCAAAGGGAAAGTGCAATGTAGCAACAAAATGGACAGCCAGTGGGACCCCGGGCAGACGGACAGCCAATGAGGAGCTGTCGCCAGGAGAGGGTGCTGAGGGACTGTGCATGCTCCAAGAACAAAGTCAACAGATCAGAGAGAGGAAGATTTTGAGCCTTCCTCCCCTGCGACCACCTGAGGCGACCACCGGAGAGAAGTGTGCAGGTGCCAGAAGGCGTGTCCTGAGATTTATATAGAAGACCACCCACTCTCGAGTAGTCAGGAATATGTAAAAATATTCAATGAATATGTATGAGCTGATTGAATAAAACAGAAACTGACTGGGAGTGGCGTGCGCCTGTTAGGCAGAGCTATCTGCTGTGTGGCCTGCGCCAAAAATAAACAAATACAAGCCTCATAGCAACTGTGGCTTTTGATTCTTACTGACACCACTTTTTCTCAGCATCAAGGGTGAGGGCAGATGGCGAGGGTCCTGAGGGAGAGGACTGAGGGCGATGGCACTGAGGGCAATGGCTGAGGGCACTGAGGGAGGTGGCCAAGGTGCCATGTCTTGGAGCAATGGCTGAGTGCTGAGGGGCGATGTCTGAGAGCAATGGCACGGAAGGCAGTGGCTGAGGGCGATGGCGCTGAAGGCCAGGGCTCAGGGCCAGGGCCGATGGCGAGGGCGCCGAGTCCCCTCCCCGTGTCTCCCGTCGCCTCTCCGGCGCCACACGCACAGAGCCCGGTGCCGGGGCTTGGTGCCAGCTGCCAGAAGGGTGCTGCCGATGGATGCCCGCCCGCCGGGGCCGGTGGCGGGGGCTGAGGGGCCGCGGGCCGCCGCCCGCTGAGGCGCCTTGTTGAGGCTGCAGAAGGGGTTGGGGCGGGCGGGCGCTGAGGGGCCCCGCGGGGCCGGGGCAGCGGCGGCAGCGGCGGCTTCGCTCCTCGGCGCTTCAGCCGCAGCATCGGCAGCGGCTTCTTGAAGCCGGGCGTGTGGCCGGGCTCGGCGGGGGCGGCCGTGGCCGAGCGGAGCCCGCAGGAGCCGCGCTCCCGTCTCGGCGCCAAAGGGCGCCCGCTCCCTCCCCGGGCGGCGCTGAGGGAGCGCGGGGCCGCCATTGCTGCGCCCTCAGGGCGCTCTGAGGGGAGAGCGGCTCCCGCCGGCCCCGCTCCGGCCGGAGAGGAGAGAAACTGAGAAAGAGCCCAGACATTGCTGCTCCAGAACGTCCGCTGAGTTCCAAATCCCTTGGGAAACCGGCCGCAACTGCTGTGGTCGGGGCTGCAATGTCTGGTGAACTGGTAACAATGACAGCAGAAAGGACAGAGAGCCCGGTCCCTGCTCCGCACAGCCCCTGCAGCGCCCCAGCCCCTCTACTCGCAGCCTGGAAGCCCAGGCCCTCAGTGAGCAGCAGGAGGAGGCAGAGAGGGGGTCACTCCTGGCAGGGCAAGAGACCCATGAGGGGGCCTTGGCTGGGGAGGAGAAAGACTGGACGTCCTGCACTGACCAAGACCTGTGCCAAGGGGAAAGTGAGAGAGACCCAGAGCTGTGCCAGGGGGAAGAGGATGCCACCTCCTTGGGCCCAGGGAATGACGACGAGGGCCCACAGACTGTTTCCCAGGAGGGGCCCAGCTCTGCCAGCAGCGTGGGCACATGCTGGGCACAGAGGTGGCAGCAGAGGCAGCCCGTGACCTGCCCAGTCCAGCTCCTGCCCCGGCGAGTGCCACGGACACCAAGCCGGCAGCTGCTGCCCCGGCCAGAGCTGCTGAGGAGGAGGAGCCCCAGGGGCCTCTGGCTCCTGTTGAGGAAGAGGCAGAAGCTTCTCCAGTCTTTGGAGAGCAGATACCATGGGCAGGGACACAGAGCCTGGTCCCTGCCCCACACAGCCCCTCAGAGGGCAGCGAGGCCCTGCTGGACACAAAACAGTACATCACATGTGAGATCGTGAGGAAGCCTGAGCTTGTGATCCAGGGATCCAGCCAGGAGCCAGAGGAAGAGAGAAACCTGGAACAAACTACAGATACAGAAATGGTACCATTAGTTACAGCAGAAAGGACAGAGAGCCCAGTCCCTGCCCCACACAGCCCCTAAGAGGGCAGCAAGGCCCTGCTGGACACAGACCAGTCCATCACCCATGAGATCCTGAGCAAGCCTGAGCTTGAGATCCAGGGATCCAGCCAGGAGCCAGAGGAAGAGAGAAACCTGAAACAAACCATGGATACAGACACGGTAACAGTTCCAGCAAAAAGGACAGAGAGCCCAGTCCCTGCCCCACAAAGCCCCTGCTCCCCCAGCAGCCCCTCACCTTCCCAGGTGAAAGCCCAGGCCCTCAGCGAGCAGCAGGAGGGAGCAGGAGGGGACTCAGTCCTGGCAGTGCAAGACACTGACGAGGGACCCTTCCCTGGGGAGGGCATAGGCTGGAAATACTACGCTGACCAAGACATTTCCCAGTGGGAAGATGAGGGAGACCAAGAGTTGTCCCAAGAAGACGTCAACACATACCAAGAAGTGTCCCAGTGGGAAGACTGCATTGAGCAGGAGCTGTCCCCTGGAGAAGTCAAGAACTACCAGGAATTGTCTCATTGGGAAGAATACGGCGAGGAAGAGGAGCCCCAAGGAGAAGTGAAGAGCTACCAAGAAGTGTCCAACTGGGAAGAATACAGCGAGGAAGAGCTGTCCCACGGAGGAGTGAAGAGCTACCAAGAAGTGTCCAACTGGGAGGACTACAGTGAGGAAGAGCAGTCCCAAGGGGAAGGCAGTAGCTACCAAAAACTGCCTGACCAGGAAGAATACAGTGAGGAAGAGCAGTCCCAAGAAGTCAAGAGGCACAAAGAACTGTCCAGCTGGGAGGACTCCAGTGAGGAAGAGCAATGCCACGGAAAAGGAAGTAGCTCCTCAGAAGTGACCGACTTGGAAGAATGCAGCATGAAAGGGCAGCCCCAAAGAAAATTCAGTAACTACCAAGAACTCCTGTCCGACTGGGAGGACTCCATTGCCCAAGAGCTGGTCCAGGATGAAGACTCCTTGGGCCAGGACTTTTCCGACTGGGAAGACTACACACCCTCCTGGCTCTCCCGATGGGAAGATGACAGTGACAGAGAGGCTGTCTCAGGCTGCTCCTGAGCCAAGCTGCAGTAGTCCTCGGCAGCCCTCTCTTAAGGACAAGGCTTGAAAAGTGACATTTGCCCTGTCAGCTGGGAGAGGGAACTCTTGAGCTTTTCACTGCTTGGAGCTGCTGGCCGGGCTCCAGCGCTGTTGCAAACGCGTGTTGCCGACCTGCCGCTTGGCTGTGGTCTCTCTGCAGGGCTGTTCTGCAGCTGCTCAGCCCTCACCTGTTCTCTTCTGCCCTCTGGCTCTTCAGCGCAGGCCTGTAACAGCAGCAGCAGGAGCAGGAGGAGCAGAGTCAGAGCAGGGTCCCCAGGGTGCTGGGTAGAGACACAGCTTTGGCTCGTCCTTTGTCTGTCTGGGTTAAGAGTGTCTGTTTAATTTTTAGGACACCTCTGCATCTGGCTTCGGCCAATGGCCATGCAGATGTCGTCAGATATCTGCTAAGAAAGAACAGCCAGCCCAACCTCGCTGACAGCTTCAAGAGAACAGCCCTGATGAAGGTGTGTGGAATGCCTTCTGAGCTTGGAGGTGGGGCTTAGTGCTGGTGTGTTAAAGGGGAGGTGTCTGGCAGGATTCCTTGCACTGCAGGGCCATAGAAATGCTCCTATTGCAATGGGCACAGCATAGGCCCCTGTTAGCTCATCTTTGAAGATGGTCTTCTATGCCAGCACTCAGGAACTGAGGGAGCTGTGACAGAGGAGGATGGAAAAGTTGGAAGTCTTTCCCTTTTCCTGTGTTGTTCCCAGGCAGTCCAACAGGAGCAGGAAGAATGTGTTGCTGTTCTGCTGGAACACAGTGCCGACCCCAATCTGGCAGACGCTGACGGCAACACTGCCCTTCACCTGGCTGTCCTCTCTAAAAACACAGCTGTAGCAGGGCTGTTACTGGAGCATCATGCCAATAGTGATGCTCAGAACCAGGTAACCTTGGCATGTGGCTAAAGCTGCTCTTTCCAAGAGCTGCACAGCTTGTCTGTGTCTTTCTAATGGGGATTCTTTCTCCTTTTAGTGGGGATTTACCCCCTTCCAACTTGCAGCCTTGCAACAGCATGAGGAGATGGAGTGCCTTCTGAAACAAGCAGCTGACAGGCCTGCTCAAGGCCAGGGGGAAAGGTGAGGGCTTTGTCAAAACAGCCCATGGGTCTTCTGGGTAGTCTGCAAGTGTGACCCAGACGAGGGGCGTGACAACGAGCTGGGAAAAAGAAGGAGCAGCCCCGTGGAAGCAGTTCCCTGTGGGACTGGTAAATGCAGGTCTGCACTTGGCTGCTCTCCTACCTCAGGGGCTCTCGTCCTTTGCCCGCTGAGGTCTGCAAGAAAGCCTTGTCTGTGGTGCCCTCTCCCCACACAGAGCCAGAGCCACGGGGAAACTTGCCAGGAGCTCAGCAGCGTGACTGCTCTGCAGGCCAGGGGGGTTTAAGGCAAGGCAGAGTTGGTGCGTTAAGTGCTCTGAAGGGAAGTGCTGGGGAAAAGAGAAGCAACACTGTCCCAGGGCACACGAGGGGCTCTGAGCACACAGGAGAAAACTTCCTGCCATGGAGATGGTCAGGGGGTCGAAGGGCTTGCCCCGGGAGTTTGTGCAGCCGCATCTGTGGGGACTTTGAAGAGCAGTGCAAAGAGCCCTGAACAGCACAGCCTGACCTCATAGCTGAGGCTGCTTTAGGGAGGCCCTTTGTAAGAAATTCTCCAATGCTTCCATGGACTTGGCTCTGCTTTCCAGGAGCTTGTAGGAAAGGGGGAAAGAGCTGTTTTGGGAGCAAGCAGGG